TAACTGTGTGTTTGTGGGGGTTGTAGCCGGATGATTTCCGGAGCAGCAGCGGACGGAGGTTTCCCGCACAGATTATCAACAGCTACTCGTACGAGGTGAGTTACCTTCCAGTAGTGGTGGGTCTACGGCCACAATGCCGGCCCACCAGTAGGAGTTGTATGTTAGATGATTGTCTTTGTGATATCATCTGGTTTTGCTACTACCTGATGTGTTATATGCTGGCATGATATGTTATATGTGATAGTAGTAGAGTTCGGTTGTTAGGACCGAAAGGTAGGTCAGACACCCCAAATATGTCTGACAGTATGTGATGATATGTTTATATGCTGGCATGATATGTTATATGTGATAGTGGTAGTAGGAGGGGAATAGTCCCCAAGTTCGGTTGTTAGGACCGAAGGGTAGTTCGGACACCCCAGATATGTCTGATAGTATGTTTATGTTATGATATATGTGATAGTAGCAGTAGGGGGTGGAATAGTCCCCGAGGGTCGGTTGTTAGGACCGATGGGTAGGTCAGCACCCCAGAATGGCTCGACACGGGTAGGTCAGCACCCCATAATGGCTTGACACGGGTAGGTCGGTACCCCAGAATGGCCGTACCGGGTAGGTCGGCACCCCAGAATGGCCGTATCGGGTAGGTCGGGTACCCCAGAATTGTCCGGCAGTATGTATGTTATGTGATTGTATGGTATGTGGTACGATGGGGGAACTCACTAAGCTTCGTGCTTACAGTTTACAGTTTTGGTTTCAGGTACCTCTTCAGCGAAGGGGAAGGAGCTGGCGCGGTAGCGGCACATCATACACATTCGCATTGATTTTCCGCACTTAAGATATTCTGGGATTGTACTCTGACATGATGCTATCTTAGGACTTGGGTTTTCAGACATGATATATTTATGTGGTTTTCTTATGAATGCTTTTATAATCAGTTAATTAAAATGAAATTTTTGGACTCGAAATTTGGGATGTTACAATTTGAGAGCCTTTTTGGCTCAAAAGTCCCATGCATGCACGTAAAGTTCGTAACTTTACGTGCTAGATCGAGCTTAGGGGCTTGGATCTATCATTTGGTCAAGTGTTGTACATCAGAAATCGAGGATTTAGGGTGTGGATGTTATCGACTCGGCGAGTCCGTTCTTGGGACTCGACGAGTCCAAGGCTTTGAGTCCCATATCTGTTGAGGGTCAAAAGGACTCAGTTGGGTGTTAGAAGGGTTGTAACAAGACAGAAAGAGTGACCCAACGCATTGGACTTAATTTTAGACCTGGAGTTCATGGGACTCGACGAGTGCTAGAACAGACTCGGCGAGTCCAAGGCAATCTTCTTAAGGTTGAAGATGAACTCGACGAGTTGTTCATACAACTCGGCGAGTCAAGGTCAGGACTTTTTCATCGGTTGAAGGTGAACTCGACGAGTGTTCATCCGACTTGGCGAGTCGGATGAAGGTTCATTGATGTTCGTAAGGAAGGGGAACTCGTCGAGTCGTTGCCAAACTCGACGAGTCGAGTCGTGGATAAGGACGAGTAAAGGGAAGGGACTCGACGAGTTGACGGCCCAACTCGGCGAGTCGGGTCAACTGGAAGTTGACTTTGACTTGGACTTGGTTGGGGGTAAAATGATCATTTTACCCTAAGAGTAGATATCAGTTTCTAACTGAGTGTTTGTGGGGATTGTAGCAGGAGGATTTCCGGAGCAGCAGCGGACGGAGGTTTCCCGCACAGATTATCAACAGCTTCTTGTACGAGGTGAGTTACCTTCCAGAAGGGGTGGGTCTAAGGCCACAATGCCGGCCCACCAAAGAGGAGTATTCGAAAGATGATTGTCTTTGTGATAATTATCTTGGTTTGGTTATGTGCTTTGGTCACGAGTATTATCTGCATGATATGTTACGTGTATTGTAGGGATTAGGTTCCCTGACAGCGGCCCTTAGGGCCGTAGGGTAGGTCAGTACCCGGATATGCCTGACTGCGTGTTTGTACCTTGCAGTTGTATGCTAGTAGTAGGGGGTGGAATAGTCCCCAGTTACCGGTTGAAAGATACCGACGATGGTTACCGGTTGAAAGATACCGATGATGATTACCGGTTGAAAGATACCGATGACGGTTACCGGTTGAAAGATACTGATGATGATTACCGGTTGAAAGATACCGACGAGGGTTACCGGTTGAAAGATACCGATGATGATTACCGGTTGAAAGATACCGATGATATTGCTTGGTATGTGGTATGATGAGGGAATTCACTAAGCTTTGTGCTTACGGTTTCAGTTTTGGTTTCAGGTACCTCTTCGTCTAAGGGGAAGGATCCGGCGGCGTAACATCGCATCACACACACACACATGATTTCCGCATGGAGTTTTCTGGGATTGTACTCTGATATGTTATTACTTTATGACTTGGGTTTTCAGACATGATTCATTATTTATGAGATGATGTGTTTTCACAGTATTTTCTTATGAATGTTTTTATAAGTCGGTTAATTAAAAAGAAATTTTTGGACTTGAAAATTGAGATGTTACAAAAATTGTGCAAAGGAAACCCTAGATTCAAGGAATCTATCAAATACACGAAATGGGAAGGAACTTGTACCTCAAAACGTGAATCTCAGTGTGAACAACACATATCCAAGCTCCACAACCGATCTAGCTTGGATTTTCTCACTCCTTCTTGCAAGATCACACCAAAGGATGAAGAATTAGCCTCCAAAATGCTCTCTAAGCTCTCTTTTCTCTCTAGGGTTTTCACAGGGGAGTAGTGGCCGCAAATGACGGCCATAAGGGCCTTTAAATAGGGCTTAGGCCCTGAGATTTAGGGTTTCACTTTACAGCGCGGACTCGCCGAGTCCGATCATTAATCCAGACAAGAATTCGCGATCCTACTCGGCGAGTCTGAGCGCCTACTCGCCGAGTCCCTCCCTAAAACTCAAGATAAATACTTAAAATAAGATACCTGGGAATCCGGATGTTACACGTGTTCCATTTTATCAATGCCACGTCGTGGCACAGAGTTTTTCCCAAAACTCCATCTTTGGTCATTGATAAAAAGTAAGCTTATCCAATCTGGAACACAAGTGTTACAACTCTCCCCTTCTTAAATTAGATTTCGTCCTCAAAATCATTCCTTACAACTTACCTGACACACCAGACGCTACCATAACTTCCTGAATTCCTATTAGGATTGAGAAATCACCTCAAACAGACGACAACTTTCCAACACCACTATCAAGGCAAAATCTTAGCAGAAATCACCTATCCCGATGAAGAAATGAACCTTTACATATTGACTGCAACCAGCAAAAAGTAACCATCATTACTCTGCCCGAGATTCTACAACCCAATACCATGCCTGACTTCCAGACATGCAAATTTATTCAAACCACATCTATAATGGCTCCATTTTGCAACCCGAACCAAACATACTCTTCCGACCCTGAATTATCTTGCTGATAACTGGAAAACAGAACCCCTAAGCATTCGCCGACGCCGATAACCATGCACCAGGAAGCAAGGGCGACTCACTACACGAGTCTCAAGCATTGGTGCCACACCAACATAAAAATCACATCCCGGTAACCAAACATTCACATTTCGATCTATCCAAGATCCCCCTGGTTCCGAGCTGACCTACCAATTAACTGAAGAACCGAATCCCGATACTTTGCTGAATTTGATAACCTCACACTCGGCCGCACTACGAGACTCCATCCAAGAGTCTAACTAACCAAGGCTATCCTAGCATGTCTTCCACACGTATACAATCCACTGATCACTAGGTTTCCCTACTCCAAACTTGTTCTAATGCCCTAAACCTGTCGGTCACTATCGGGTCCCACCCTCATGAGTCATACACTTACTGATTCATAATATCCCGTGACATCATTTAATCCACTCAAATTATAAGATCACAGAGCACTCTCATCTTGTCAACGTTCCATCGTTGGCCTTGGGACTCACCACCAATACTACCTGCCCTGAGCATAAACTCGAATGTCTAAATAGTTTGCTCAACCCAGATATCATAACCCAACTAGTCTCGAATAAATCTTGACTATACGAATGTGGTGATTATACTAACTCATCGACAAGATGTTTATTTTTATTCTTTTATATTTATAATTAGAATTTGTATAAAGTATTACCTATCAACTTTTTACATTATAATAAGCTAATCCAAATATGTTAAAAAAATCAAATTTTTTAGGACGAGTTACTTTTAGAAATAACAATGAATTGTTTATAACAGAAAAATGAAATACGTCCTTAAATTTGACATAAATGTATATATTTACCATTTTGCATATTTTAGATTCATTAAAGTCTGATGTTCACAATTTTTTTTTTCCATTGGTATCATTTTGCGTATTTCTGATTCATTAAAGCCTTTACATTTTGCAGAAATGTTCGGTTTTACGTTTTTGCTTGTTCATTAAAGCCTTTAAATTTGACGGAAATATTCTGATTTACCAGGTAAACTTGTAAAATGGATAAAAGTGTTTTTTTACAGAAGCATTGTAGGTGGAAAAAATATTTACATATTTATCGTGATTTGAAAAGTATTTACCAAAAGATAATAAAATAATTACAAATCTTATATTTATATTAAAAAATAAATAAATAAACATGATTGTACAAATTTGTCCCCCCATCTTTCCACTCCCTCCTCTCATTTTTCCTGTTGGAGTTGAGTTTTAACTGATTGTGTCGTTAAACGGAATAAATCATGGGATAAAAGAGCCACAATGCAGCACTCCTACTGGCCTCTGGGAAAGTCCAACCGATGATGAATCTCTGTGCAATGCTAATGAATGCCGCCCATAACGTCAAACCACTAGTGAACTTCTTCCACCCTCACAAACCCATCCCATCCCCGCCATCCTAATCTCCATGCATCGAAGACAATACGATTACATCTGATGAAAGCACCCTTACAAACCTACGACTAAAAGGAGTAACAAATGGGACACGACCAAACAAGTTGGTTTGATATACAAGCGGTCAAATGGGATATTCTCTTTCTCTTCTCCGCGTCACTTCGCAAGAAAATTACATTGTTATAATGGACTCCGAAGTAAGCACCGGAAAATTGAAGTCGGGGAAATTTGATACATTCAGAAATTGAATTGGACCCAAGACTACTAGAAAGTTTGTTAAGCTACAACTCAAGGATGAATAATGAGTGTAACGATGGCTAAAACTCGCTGACAATTTGATTGTAAAAACTAGCGGTTTCATAGAAGTGAGATTGGATAGATCTTGAATGGGACACGAGAGAAGATTGCGTTAAGAGAACGTACACTGAGTTTAAAGACGGTGGCAAGTCATCACGTGAGTCGAGGCCGCCATGTAGATTGAGGTATTTGACGATGGAAACACTGCTCATGCTCATGGAGGTATTTCGCCGGAAAATGCCACGCTGCACTTCTAATTAAAATAATCAAAAAGATCGGAAACAAGTTAGACCATCTTTTCGTAATTAAATCTTAAAATACAATGATTTTGTAATTATTTCTTTAAAAGTATTACACCTTTGCACAAAACTCATGGATAAAATTGAAAAAAAGAAATTACAAACTTCCGGCGCAAAAATGAAAATTCTGACTTTTCTTGCATAAGAATCCAAACGTCCATTAAAAACTTTGGCGCCACCCCTTAAAAGAAATTACTCATTGTACTTACGATTACAACATCGCCTCTCGCTATCTGCTCCTCACTTCGACTCTCCCCTGCTCGCCGTCGCCTCCCTTGTGAAGCCACCGGCCGGAGACATTCGATAGCCACAACTCCGTCGCACCCAACCCCAGGTTCCAATTTTCTTCCTTCTTTTCTGCGTTCTTTCTTCTTTTTTCTGCTTTCTTTGAAATCGCCAATTGATGTTGTTGGTCGATTTCTTTTTAATCCAAGAGGTTTACTTCTCCTGTGAGTTCCTTCTTTGACATACGAAATTTCTGTAGTATTTTTTTAATATCAACTGTCAAGTTCAAGTTTTTCCTGTGATTATTTTCTTTTTTTCTGCTTTCTTTGTAATATTTTCCTGGAGCTCTGTCAGGTGATTTCTTACTTTCATTGATAATTGATTTGCTATTTGTTAGTTGCTACTATTTTGCTGCATATTTTCTGCTACTGATTTGGTAAATTGTGTTTGATGTTCAAATGTATGAAATCTGATGAGTATAGTGTTCTGTAATAAATGGGAATGTGTTTGCAGGCAAGCTGTTTGATGAAATGCCTGAGAGGGATAGTACTTTCTTATGCATGTTTTCACTTATCAATTCTAATATACATGTTTTAATGTTTAACTAGCGATGTTTGGTCGTAAAACAAGCTTCAATAGGAGGCGTAGATTTTTCTTCCTCCGTAAGCTGCGTACTGCTACTACACAACCTCGAGCTTCCCTTAATGGCGACAGTAGCAGCAGCGGGTCTAAAGGTAAATAGATTTGTAGTGTTGCTCATTTGGATCTTATCAATTTTAGAAAATAGCATGATTGATTGCTGAGGCTGAGGGTTGACAGGTAAAGGTAATCCTTTTCTGGTGCCTGGTGCAACGGTTGCAACTATAGCCATGCTTGGAGCTCTTCATGCTAGACGAATGTATAGTGATAAAAAGGTATGTAATGCACACTCCAACAACAGTCTTGTGTAAGTCAATAAAATAATGCTGGAGTTTTTTAAAAGAAAAACTTTTATCTTAAAATTATCCAGCTTGAAGAGGCTAGAGAGAGTGGCATTGAACCCGAGCTCCAACCTGATGTAAAAGTATTGAATTCTGTCTTTCATCTTTTGTCATATTTTGAGACATGTAGAAAGGTTGTTAACTTGTTATTGCTTAATACCTGATTTTCTTGCTTGACAAATGTAGGCTAAATTCCTGAATATGTTACCTCTACGCTCCATTTCAAGGTTTTGGGGTCATTTGTCTGGCAAGGTGAGAATCATCCAAACGCAAAAGATTAGTTATGTTGTTGAGTTGGTAATTTGGTAAAAGTAAATAATTTCATTAGAGATGATGTGTACTTACTTGCACAAAGTTTCTTTAGACTGAGTAAATCTATAACTACCAACAAGTCTGTTGCCAATTTACCTTTTCTTTTGAAAAGAGAGAATGTGTACTTACACAAAGCTTCTTTTCTAGGAAAAACGGAAAAGGTGACCTACTTTTGTGGCTGTTTATAGGTTTGTGCTATTTTCTTAAAATTTGTTTTGCCACAAATCAAAAGCGATTTTACATGTCATGGTGAACTTCCTTTTGTTTTAGTATATTGTTATACGAGTGGTGTTAAAAATGTAATTTTCATCAAGCTTCACCAGTAATGTCTTTATATTTATATAAAGGAAATACTTTGACCCTTCAAGTTGAATGTATGTGATGAATAATTATATCATGTGCACTGAATGATGTATATGATAATGTTAACTGTTAAGTCCCTTGGCTTCTGTTATCCATGAAAAAAAAAACGAATGACATAACAACTAGAGAAATTGCTGTTGAGAGCTACAAAATATGGTCTTGTATTCTGGTGTTTGATTGAGAAACAAGTGGTTATGATGTTTGTTTGTTTGTTTGTTTCCAAACAGGAACTTCCAGTTTGGGTGCGTCCATATGCTCATAGAGCTTGGGCTCGTGCATTTCATTCAAGTATGTTACTTGTTGAACCCAGAAATTATTATTATTATTATTATTATTATTATTATTACACTGGTGTGAATGTGAATGTGAATGTGAAAGTGATATGTTATTGTTGTACCTTACTTAGACTTGGAAGAGGTGGGCCTGCCTTTAAAGGAATACGCATCACTTAAAGATTTTGTTATTCGCAGACTGAAAGATGGTGCTAGGCCAATCAATTCTGACCCACACACTCTGGTAGGCTACCAGCTGCTTGATATTTATATATTTATATTTATAATTTACATGATTATGTAACATGTAAGTGTAGATGAGTCCTGTTGATGGTACTGTGTTAAGAGTTGGAGAGCTGAAAGAAGGGGTTATGATTGAGCAAGTTAAAGGCTTCTCCTATTCTGTATCTTCCCTCTTAGGTGCACGTTCCTTACTCCCTCTTATGGCACCACCTGCCCATGAAGATACAAGTTGCCAACAACAAAACAAGCTCAACAGCAGCAGCAGCAAATCATGGTGGAGAATTTCATTAGCTTCACCAAAACTTAGGGAGCCTTCTTCACCACCGTATTTTCATACCTCTCTTACTCGCTTCATATCATATAAATTATAATTAACATTTTTCTTCTTACAAGTGACATTATTAAGGAGTTTTATATTTACTTTTTTTTTTATGTTGGTTGCAGCAGTCCAATGAAAGGTCTCTTTTATTGTGTTATATACCTGACGCCAGGAAACTACCATCGAATTCACTCACCAGTTGATTGGAATGTACTTGTTCGCCGCCATTTTTCTGGTAAACATCATTGTTTAATGAAAAAAAAAAAAACTCATTATTCTAGACAAGTATATACCCTTCCTATTACCTGTTTTAACTATATAGAAGAATATTGCATGAATATGCCATATCCTATTCCTAGTAGAATATGTGCAATAATAATAAGTTTATGAAACCTTTTTTGCAGGTCGGCTCTACCCTGTTCATTCACGTGCTATCAGGACAATAAAAAATCTTTATGTTGAGAATGAAAGGGTAATTCTAAACTTCCTTCTCTATGTAAAAAATCTTTATGTTGACAAAATCACAAACCAAGGGTGGGGGTTGTTAATAACTTACTTACACCCAAGTACTAAAGCAACATAAAGAAAAAAAAAAAAAATCTAAATTCTAGAGCTTGGTGCTTTAATCTCATTGTACCACCCTACGGGGAAATAGAGATAAATAACCCCAAGAAACAATAACTACTACTAGTGTCATATCACATGATGTTTCACTTTCTTCGGTTTGAAACAGTATTTGGTCTTTAGAGGATTGATATTTTCCATGTTAGCAGGTTGTCCTAGAAGGTAGATGGCAAGAAGGTTATATGGCAATGGCTGCAGTTGGTGCAACAAATATTGGCTCCATTGAGGTTGTGTTTAAATTTATTTATTTATTTCCATTGAAATCTCCCAAAAGTAATAGTAAATACTAAATAGAAATGTATTGCAGCTTTTCATTGAACCTGGTTTAAGAACAAACCTACCAAGAAAGAAGTTGGTCCAATCAGAGGCCCCTCAAGAGCGGGTGTATGAACCTCAAGTGATGCTCAAGAAAGGAGATGAGGTTAGATTCTTTGATGACAATGGAATGGAATAGAAAGACAAAAGTTTCTTACAAAATCTTATCTTGTGTTTGCAGGTAGGTGCGTTTAACATGGGATCAACAGTGGTGCTAGTTTTCCAAGCACCCACAACTTCACCATCATCAGAATTCAGTTTCTGTGTTGAAAAAGGCGATAAGATACGAATGGGAGAAGCTCTAGGACGTTGCCATTAACAGCTGTAATTATTGATGCTGGTGTTTATATGGATTTCATTGCTATATTATTATTATTGATGGCTGGGAAACAACTATTTTAGAAGAGATGAGGACAGAAAAAGCTAACCAGATGCCCTTTGGCCCTTGCTACTTATCAAGTTTTGATTTCTTTATTATTATTTTTTTTACTTCTCTTTTGTTTTACTGAACCCATAACTAGGTCTCTTTGTAATTGTAGTGAATTTTTTTGTTGGGGTATTGACATTTCATCTTTTCACACAAATGTAGATATGTCTTTCTTAAGGATTCAATGATCATATGATATAACATGAAATCCTAACTGTATCATTATAGGTAAAAGGACGACATTTCAGTGTGTGTGTGTGTGTGTAATTGTGTATCATGAGTCATATTTGTTTGATAGGTGGAGAAATGGAATAGGAAAATGTGAATCAAACTAACAAATGCAAGTCCTGATACCAAAATACACCAAGTCAGACAACTGTAACTTGTAATTCAATCAAATAATAAACTGGATTTTTCATGTTGTCATGGAGGAGAGTTAAAGTGCCTATGAATATCTCAATTAGAATACTAGTCACATGGGTAAATAAATTCCAATAAGAACATGAATAACACCACACCACACCCACAACACAAGTATGTAATTTCTAAATCAGAGTTTTGAGCTTAAAGCATTTACATTCCTTCATATGAGGTCACAGTATATGAATATCTCTCATCTTTCAGTCAAACTACAAACCAAATTCAACTCCATCTCTTTCTCTATATCAAAACTTTGTTCCTGAAACAATAACCACATTCTCATTTTAGTATGGTCCCTCATTTCACACACTGACTTTACGTTCAATTTCAACCATCAAATTATAACTGGAACAGAATGCTATACCCTAAGCACTTCCATCTAAAATAGGGCAAAATCGGCTTAAATCTAAAAACTGGAATTGCGAAATGTAAAACTAAGAGGTTGATGATTACAATAATGCCAGGAATTTATTTATTAACTAATAACACATATTGATCTATAAACTAAACTAAAAATAGAAGTAAAAAAGGAAAGCACACCTACGTCTGTTTAGCAAAAGACGAAGAAGACGGGACACGTTTGTTGCGAAACATCATATAACCAAGAGGCAAAACGACGCCGATCATCATGATTGCAGATCCGATCAAGTATCTCACTGGACTTGGTGGTTCCACCTCCAACAGGAACCTCTTAATCTGTAACAAAATCGAGAATTATATTTCAATCCAGACCTAACAAATTGGATTCAACAGTAAGATCAGATAACACTAGCTCAGTAGAAATTTTTTTAGTTTGTGTGTAGAGACTGGAGTGTAACCCTAGATCTACTTACAGGTGAATCGGGAGAGATGACTTACAGGCATGGTTTGGCTGGGTTGGGTTGGAGATGATCGATGGCAGAGAATTCACGAATTATGAGATGAAATAATTTCCCACCAACTTCTAAATCAGATTCTGGCCTTCCTAATCCTGCAACATTTGCAAAGCATTTACACGAATGATAATGTATTAATGTGGTTGATGCATTTATTTATTTATAACTCAGGCTGTTTTATATTTGATTTTGTAACGATTTTAGTTGCTAATCAATTAAAAATGTCCAAATCAGTAAGACATTTTTATTGAGAAATTAACTATATTAAAGACATCCACACTCCATTAATTATTAAGAGTTTGAGAAATTAAATATCCTTCTATTTTTTTTCTTATAAATATTCTTATCAAATTAAATGATAACATCTATCATATTAGCATACTAAAATATCATTAAATAAACATTAAATATTACACATGTCATTATTTAATTGGATAGGAGGATTTGTAGGACAATAAGTAGAAGAATATTTAATTTCTCTTAAAGTTTAATGGATTGACACATATCATTTTACTTATTATACAATTCTACATTAATTTTCCTATAATGCATTAGAGTTCAATGGTCATTGAACTCTATATCCATTGAATGCCAACATGTCAATCCACAATAATAGAGTTTAATCAATTGAATGTCAATTAGACATACCACCTCATTCAACTCTCTCATTAAACTATGCATTGTGGATGCTCTAACCATGATATGATGTGTATTTAAGCAAAAAAAGTTTTTTTTTTCGCAAAATAACAATTTAAATCCGAAATGAGACATTTCAGATTGACAAAAAATATTTTTTCTGACAAACAAATATATTTTGGAGTGACATTTCAGATTTTGGACTTACTAAAATTAAACGAAACATATATATAAACTACAGTTTAAGATCATATATTTTATTAAAAACTGTGATATTAAACATTTTCAAATAGATATTTCAGACATAAGTAGAAATATTTTTTTGAAAAAACATTTTGCAAAAAAAAAAAAGAACTCTAAAATTTAAAAAAACAAGTCTAGAAAGGATCATTCAAAATAAATTTGTCATTTTTCAAAAATTGAAAAAAAAAAAGATGTTATTACTTGGTTATGATGATAATATAGCACAAAGCAATGAAAACATAAAAATCAAAACTTGGTCATCATACTCCATAGCAAGGTTCTAAATAACGTAAGACGGAACTTGACGGTAATGTCAAGCCTCAAGCTTTTTTGAGTCGTGACGAGCCACGTCGTTTGTAAAGCATGACTTAAAGTGACGATTTTGTATATAATCAATAATTTAATATATATTTTCTATTATTATTCATTTTTATATACATATGTAATCTAAGGTGACATTTTTTTCAAAACTTGACGACAAGTACAAGCCTTGGAGTCATGACGCAGATTTTATACATCTTATGGTGCAATATGTAGATTTTATACACCTAAAAGAGGGGAGGGGCTGAGAGTTCCATGAAGAAACGATGAGGGAAATGGTGGGAAAACCCTATGTGTCATGTTCTAAAAGTCTTTGGGACCAGCTAGGGTTAATCACTTTTATACCCTTGTCCATTTTAAGTGTTATTCTTATCTTCTAATTTGAATTAGAGATAATTACACTTAAAGCCTTGTACTTCTTAAGTTTCTAATTAACTCACCATTAGTTGACAAGTTAATAAACTAGTCTTTTTCATTTTCCTTTTGTCATTTTGTGTTTACATCATGTCTTGCATGTAACCCAAAGGATCCTGCTAAATATGAAAAATCACTAACTTGTTGCGACCATAAGCATATTTCCAAAAGTTATTTTTCTTTAAAAAAAACTCATTTAGAAAGGTTAGTTTAGTGAATTTCCCATTTTTAATTTGTAATATATTAAAAAAATTATTTTGTAAAATGTTTGGTCCCACCTACCACCTTTGACTCTTTCCCCATTTACCTTAACTAGTACACTATTTACTGTGCTCTCATACCATCGTTATCTTCCCTCTTATTCCTAGACTTGACAATGAAGTGGGTTCTGACCTAATCTGATTCAAATCCGTAAGAGTTATATAGATTTATATCTTAGTTTTTGATTCGTTTATAAGTTTACCCCATACCCTTTAACCCTTTTATTTAATGCGTTAGGTATGGATTATTACTGACCTACTCCATTTATAACTCGCTCCATTTAAGTATAACACCCTTTGATTTCCCCATACTTTTTCGTTTCTTTATAATTATATTTTCCCAAATCGAAAGGGAGGATTATGGAGTTGTTTTCGTCTTCTCTAATCAAACACATACTTTGAGAGTGCAATCTTCTTCCAAGTGAGATTGATTTTCAAATCAACCATATGTTTTCTATAGCAGACATTTATTTTATTTAAGATTCATCTTGATGTCTACGTTGCCCCATGAACGTTTGATATAGTAGACATTTATTTGAAATTTTTTAAAAGTGTTTGGATCAATGCTAATTTGCTCTAAACCTAATCCATTGCTAGGTCTACTTGTTCTCTGTGTCATCCTCTACTTTTCAGAACCAAATAAAATTTTTCTTTATAGTTTAAAATATCATTTGTTTTTGTTGCGGAAAATCCTAGTTAAATAAAACCTTTTTATGAGATAATAATATTGTTTCAAAATATTAAAACACTACGGATATCATAATTCATATCCAAAATATGTTACAACGTAAAGAGACAAGGTCCTGAATACTATCACAAGCTTCTCTCTTATTTCACTCGACATCCTATTTAGTTTCCAACAGCCTTAGTTCCACTACCTATGATGCATATAAATTGAGTGGGTTGTGTTGGGAAACCCGACGAGACACATAAAGTTTTCAATCCCATAATACTTTAATCATATATAATAATCCTACAACATAACTGTTACCAGACAATATATATAATTAAACCAACACAGATAACTATAAGATAAAAGCAAAGAAACAGGAAAAACAAGATGAATGTGCAGCCTTAACTCGCTGGAACTTTTATTGAAGAAAAATAACTCAAAACTTAATCTGATGTGATTAGAGGATCCTATCGGTTTTTATACTAAACATAACATATTCGAATAAAACTAGGATTCTAGAAAGATAATCACAAAACATTACTTATAAGAATTTCCTTATTACTCAAGGAAGTTAGGAAACCTTGGACAACACTCCAAGTAATCCATAATCTGGACCAGAACATGCCATTAGCCACATTTGTTCTTACATAATTCCCCAAAAATCACCTCCTAAATTTCTGAGTCGAGGGTAATTCTTGCACACCATGCAACATTCTCATCTCTGCGAACCTTATCCGAGTTAAGGCATTCGTAAGTGGATTCACTCATTGCTTGTCTCCTGAAAAATATTCAATAATCACTTGCTCATTTTCAACACACTCTCAAATAAAGTGGAATCGAGTGTGAATGTGTTTGTTTCTTTCAATAAAGACAAGATTCTTTAACAATGTTATTGATGATTCTTTGTCTATGCGAATCGACACCTTTTGTTTCTTAATTCATGTCAGCTTAGCTAACAACTCCCCTGACTAAGCTGCCAGACACTCAACTGCAGTAGCTGCCATGAACTCAGCTTCACACTAGGACAAAGCTATTGTATCTTGCTTCTGGGAGCACCAAGTGATAGATAGGCGAGTCACCAAGGTAGCAAACATGCCCTGTTGTACTTCTGCTATCATCAACATCTACATTGTGACTCCTATCATTATAACCTAGCAAGATCATATTTTTACTATGTTTATATACTATCCCAAAAGATGGAGTACCACGTAACTAACGAAGGATTTGCTTAATAGCGTGTGCATGAG